AGCATACCATACTAGCCATATCTTAGAGATACACTTACACGAATAAATAGATGAATAGACAACTGAATAAACATAAATACACACACATATGTATGTACGTACACAGTTGCATACATTTCTACATACACGAATACACCCATCTATACCCATAAACACGGCTGCAGTAAACACACACTCACACGATGCCAAGGAGGAGAGAAGTCCGTGCGTCTCCCGCCGAGGTTAGAGGAGAACTGCGGCGGCGAGGGCCAGCTGATTCTCCTGCACCGTGAGATAAGAAGAAGGCCCGATAGCCGATAGCGAGAGATAAAAAAGCCTCCGAGGCGTATATCAGCGAAAGAAATCTCCGTACCATTGATTATCGGATCGGTCGCTGTGAAGGAATCTTTGTGCTTTGTTTGTTTGTTGTTTCGTTTCGTCTCGCGAGTTAGTGAAGGTTCTTGCTCTTGCTGGTATGTATATGGATAAGCATATACATACATACATATATATGTATATATATATATATATATATATATATATATATATATATATATATATATTATATATATATACACACACACACACACACACACACACACACACACACCACACACACACACACACACACACACACACACACACATGTATATAATATATATATATATATTATATTATATATATATATATATATATATATATATATATAATATGGGCAATGGGAAATACAGCGATGTTCATGCTAAGTTTATTACTTGATATCAAATTATCACCATCATTTACCATCTCGTAAAGTCTCATCATCGGCCGTTCTATTCTTAACTTAACTGACTATATCATTTTCGGATAAGGGAAAATACACCACCAGTCTTACAACCTTTATTTACGTAATTGCAATAGACTATTCCTTGAAGACGTGGCTTGTCTTTAAGGTATGTTCTTTAGGCCTATGAACAATGACAAGCCGCTAGCAAAATTTCCCTCAGCACTACGCTCTCTCTCACAAATGAAGGAAGAATATAGAGAAATTTTGTATTTCCATTGATTATGTGATGCATAACACACTCATCTTTCTCCTTTAAACACTTGGCCAAAGGTTATTTCTCGGTCTTCGTAAGTCCACGGAAGAGAACCAACAAAGAAAGAAAGTAAAGGAAGAGTAAGAATTCTTTTGATTTCTCTTACCCACAATGCACCCGGGGTAGCAGTTCTCTCAGCCTGCATATGTCAACAGAAGATCTTTCTTTGCTCTTTTGCTCGTGGCTTTTGAAGCACCTTTACGCAGAGATCTATGTAAGTTGGAAATATAATGTTAAGATTATCTGCTGACAAAACCAGAGGCCTTTGATACATTCAAAATTTTTGGGTCAACTTCCCTCGGGCGCTTTCGAAATCTCTCCTTGCACGTGAGAGACGATAACTAAAATGGTTCTTTTGGGCATTATTCTTGTTCTTCGAAGGAGAATAAGATCTCGATAAATAAGTTTTCACTCGGAAAGATTTGATTCTGATACGAATTAAGGTCGTGATGGAGGGTAAGTTGAGAAAATCTTTCCTAGATGCTCACCAGAATTTGGATGGGAAAAGATGCCCCTTCATTATATTCTTGCTGTTTGACCGATGCCAAGTGCTATATATTTGTAATCTGTATCCACGAATGCGAGGAAAAGAAAGCAAAAAACATGATAGTAATTAAATAGTTTTTTTGTGTTTTTTAATTCATGGCCTTTATGCAGTTCGGGAAGTTTCAGAAATCGCTTAATCTGCAGCAATATTCTTGATTTCTCGGCTGGCTAAGGCGTTTTGTATTCTAATCTCGCTCTAATAGACGAGTAGAAGCGATAGATAAACGCTTTGATTCTGAAGCTAAAACTAATAACTAGGAATATGAGAATAAAATAGAAACTAATCGGAGAGAGAGACAGAAAGTTGAATTCTTATCAAGTTTAATGATTCTATATCTCATTTCAAAGGTAATGATTTGAAAGCAAGGTGGAATGAACAAACATATTTGAAAACGAAGGACAGGAGCAGTCAGTGTGCCCGAATGGAGCTATGCAAAAGCAACACCTTTCGTTATCTGGCAAGTTGGATGACGCAAAACAAGTGGCAAAGAAATGGAAAAAAGTAGATGATGTTCAGATTTTGACAAGAACAATGTGAAAAGGATAAAACCGGTAAAAAAGGTCATTAATATATTTAATTAAAGGGCGGTACGGTAAAGAAAAGTACCTTGCAAGCACCCAAATCCACTTTAGACCACTTTAATTCATCATCTTATTGGAGGAAAAATATCCCTAAATCCAGCTAGGACCACTTCATTTTGTTTCGAGGGAAGAAAATCCCCAAATACATCTGAGACTACTACATGTAATTCTTTAACGGAAGTGAAAAATCCCCCTCATTTTCTCCATTCCACTAATCCCTCGTCTACCCACACACTTCTCTTTACACAACTCTGCTCTTCTCTCTTCTCTTCTGCACCTATAAGCAACGCGACTTCTGCTAGCTACTTTTTACTGCATTTCTGGGGCGCCATGTTGGAGTAACAAGTAGGCGCAAAATGACCGAATCCTAAACTTAAAATGTGAACCAGTGATTTTTTCTCTCGAACGCAAACGAACCGCAACCGCGTGAAGACGAACCGCACCGTGTGAAAAGGGTCTTACGGAGTCTTAAGGAGGCGTGTGATACCCAAGGCAGATATTTATTTCTTGGACAATTGTCATGGCCTATTGACCACTATATCTGTGCGTTTAGGAAAGATGTCGAAGAGAATGTTCGTTTTAGTTCATAGCAAAGGACACCATCGTCTTTAGAATGTCAAGTAAACCACAAACATCGGGATCGTGTTTGCTTCTTCATTTCCAGGTATGTGTAATAAACGTCTAGAATAATATGATAAATATACGGTCCGATTTTTTATCTTTATGCCCGTGGGAGTCATGCCCATGCACTGCAGCGAAATGAACATGTTATATATACATTTTACTGAACACTCACTGGCGATCTGATGACATAGCAGCCATGCATATGTAACTCCTGACCGCTGTGTTCGACGCAGCATAGAATTCTTGGCCAGAGTAGATACATTCCTGCTAAAAGACTGGATACAGAGCTTTCCTTTTGTCTGGGGCGAGAACTTTGAAATCAGTGTGTAGCAATGGTTGTTCAGATCTTGTGTTCATATAAGAGGAGTGATCTGGAAGTAATGTCGGCAAAGGCTTTTTTTATATTATTATTATTATTATTTTTTTTTTTACAGAAAAGGGGAAAATCAAAATTTCCCTTGCATTACGTAGGGACAATCTTTTGGCAAATTCCTTTCTTTGTGAAATCAGTCGTTCCTTTTAAGAGAATGGACAAGCTTCTGAGGACCTCAGTCGAGTCCCAAGAAGAGGAGCAGTGTTAACAGGTGGTTTGGAAAAACACTGACTTTGAAGTAGTGGTCAGCAGGGAGAGTAAATAAGTAAACTGCCTTCCTTAATTGCAAATCTTATACGTATTCTTGGCAATTGGTAAGAAGATTAAGGATCTCAAAACCATTTCTCTGTGAGACATAGCGGCCCCCACAGCGTGTCATGTGCTGCAACAGCTTGACCAAGACGCCCCACTGCCTCATTTATTACTGGCGATATCCGACTTGCACACAGCACTCGGTATCCATGGGAATAAATGAGCTGGACAGAGGATGTGAGAAATTTTAAACTTTGTATGAGCAGTGTAATCTATATGCCTAATTATTGTGAATTATAAATAATTAAGTTAATTTTATGAAGAAGATTGTGAAGTGGAAAGGTTAATAATTTACAGTTTTAGAAGATGCAACTTTCGAAAGATGTACAAGAGAGACGCGTGTTTTGGTCTTCTCTCTCCATATTTCCGATCGAACGGCTTATTAATTGTTTTGACCTTAATATCTTGTCCTTTTTGGGATTCGGTATGTATGATTTCATTATTAATAAATAAAGAGTGGTGGAACTCTTTCTACTATATTATTTACTTCATTTATTTGAAATTACAGTGATATTAGTGGAAGAAGAGAGGAGGCTGAACAGATAAACACCATGCCATTCCTATGCCAATCGCCGCTTGGAGACCGCTGATTATGTCTGAACGGTTCTCCAATATAATTAACAGGTCTTGTGGAGAGATTATTATGATAGTGTTCATCTGGTTGGTTCGGGAAATTTCCCACAGGTGTGGTATGAAGTAGTATTTAACCCCAGAATTCTCCACAGAGGACCAAACCTCGCGTGCTGCTGGTTCCAGCATCAGAAAATTGAGTTCTTTAGTGTGGCCGAGAACCAGACGTACAAGATAGACTCGCTGGTGGTAGACGGCTGGAGATGATGATGACCTCTATATTACTATTCGTGTTTTGTTAATTTCTGCATTTATTTTATCCATCTTGGAGGGTATGCTCTCTGTGTATGATGCTGCGAGCTTACCGATTCCTCTTTTGTGGTTCATTAACACATTTTATACACGCATTGTAACGGCGTGTACTTTCTGTAGATATATACCAACACATTTGTTTAAACAGTTTGTAGATGAATATGAATTTCGGATAAAAGGTAAGTAATACAATGCATATGCATGATATGTGCTAATTATTCAAGCGCTGGGGCTGGGGCATTAAAGGCACATCCCTCAAACACCCGAAGCGGCGGCTCTCTCATCCTGGCGTCCTAGTTCCTGCCCTGCGAGAAGCGGTCCGGGGTACAGCAGCTTGTTCATCTTCCTCGGCAGGTTCCTCCAGAATTCGATGTCCTGGGAAAAGGTGGAAATGCATGTGAAGGCTTTTGGATATTGCTCTCGAACATTATGCGTGTTGTTTGACAGCATGTCAAACCGTTTCTGCTTAAAAAAACTATTCATTGCAAATTTGACCTGTACAAAATGGGGAATTTTGGGCACCGATTTCTTGCTAAAAGAATGGGTTCGCATCAGCGTGCTCGGGTCCCCCCCCCCCCCCCCCCACCCGATTTGATTTCGAGGCCCGAGCGCCGTACCTGCTCCTGTCGTAGAGCTTCATGGCGGGGCGGAGGTGATGCCGAGGTAGGAGAGGCTCGAGGCCTCAGTCGGCGTCCACTTGAAGCCCAGGGACAGGTCGGGCGTCGGGTTCCTGCGAGGGAGATCGTTTTAGTGGAGTAGTGCATTCTTTGCCGACATATTTGCAAATTACGAAGCTCATTTTTTCCCCAGAGAGCTGGTGTGCAGTAGTGTGCCACATCAGCTGCCGAGACTGACTCGCAAATCCCCCGTCCTTGGACATCCCTGGAAAGCGTTTCCTCTCACCCGGTGGCGGCGAAGTTGGTCCAGAGATCCACCATGATCCGGGACACGAAGAGGTCCTCCTCCTTGGTCAGGCTGACGTTGAGCTTATCGAAGGAGAAGAGGTACTGCAGGTCGTCCGAGTCGCCCACGTCTGTGTGCGAGAGAAGCCTTTGTGTCGGTCGCCGCCAGAGCTAAATCCGTCACGTGGAGACGGACCAAAATGAAAACAGTAAAGAAACCTTATCCAAACCTGCATTTATTCACAACAAACTCGGGAAAACCTCTTGTCCCCGAGGAAGGGCTCCTCACAGGCCAGGTTCCACGCGGGCGAGGGCCCCCGGAACAGGTCGGAGAAGGCGTGCTCCCCGCGGTGCTGCAGCTCGTAGGCGAAGGCGCGGAAGCCGAAGGCGGCGTCGCGCGCGTGGTGCTCGACGGCCTCCACGTGACATGCTGTAGAAGCTGTCGCCGAGGAGCTGGGGGAGGGGGAGGAGGGTCGGGGTCAGGCCGAGGTACTGACACTGAGGCGCAGTCGCTCCAAAGAGCATTCTCACTCCAGGCCCGTGGCGGCTGGCGATGCCAGCTGGTCTTACCTTGACGAGAGGGTCGATCTTGGTCAGGTCGAACTCCATGGGCCCAGGTACCTGTGGAAGGCCAGCGGGCCAGGTACTCGGGGTCGTCGTCCCAGGCCTCGAAGCCGAGGGCGGGGGGGCCCACGAGGCTGAAGTTCTGGATCATGCTGTCATGACGCCGTCCTCACGAACGCTGAGGAGGAAGCGAGAAAGAGATTCCCCTTTACTTCAATGTTCGACCGCCAGGGGGCGAAATGCTGTGCAACATATGCGGGGAAAGGAAGTCTTTATAAATGATTGAAATGGCATTTGTGGCTGCGAGGACGGAGCCAGCGCCGGCCCTCCCTCTGGGTTGAAGGCGCCCCGTCCCGCGTCACGCCGGAGAGGACGTCGACGCGGTTGTAGCGGCCTTCCCTGATCAGCGTGGCGGGGTGGGCGGAGGAATTCGCCGTCCACGCGCGGGCGTCAGGACGTACGGGGAGGCTGTGGGAGACGAGGGTCACGTTTCCTTCTGTCCGTTTACTGATCCAGGACGGCATGAATGAACATAGACACACACACACACACCACACACACACACACACACTCCAATAAGCGTCCAGACAGAAGCTTGCTCACCGTGATGTACGGCGTCACGGCCATCAGCTGCTCGACGGGGACGTCCCTGAGGCAGTCGACGAGCGCCGTGCTGTTGGCGGCGTCCGGCGTCGCCGGACAGCCCACCATGCGGCCGAAGCCGAGGCCACCTGCCGGTGGTCCTCCCGGAGCGCCCAGGGACACAGCGCCGCCCCCGACTGCATGATGGCTCGCTGGAAGAGGCCTTCGGCGGGAGAGGAAGGAAATTAGAGACGGAGAAGTCTCTTGGGCGACAAATTACGCATCTGCTATAGATGGAACGTGGATGAGCTTGAGATAATCTTTAGAAACCATCATATGCTCAAGGTCTGAATTCCCTCATACATACACATACACATCCCTACCTCTTCCCCACATCTCGAATAGGAACTACTGCTGGCCATGAGATGGATTTACTCTGGCCAGGAGAGACGGACTTACCACTGGACATGGGAGACAGCATGTGGTAGTGCACAGCCGCGCCCCCCGCGTTTGGCCGAAGATGGTGACCTTGTCTGGGTCTCCGCCGAGGTCGCGGATGTTGTCCTGCACCCAGCGGAGGGCCATCGCCTGGTCCTTCAGCCCCAGGTTGCCAGGGAGCTCGGCGTCCTCGGTCGACAGGAATCCTGAGGGAATCGACCGCATTAGCCCTTCATGGCTCTGGTGCAATGACGAGGAAGCGAGAATTGACAAAATGCACTAGATGAAAAATAGTCTTAATCAGATACTCAGCGTAATCCCATCTGATCACCGACAAGAAAGCCACTTTCGCACGCAACATGCCAACACAGACACGGATCGCATTGGAAACGGCACCGACACGAACCCAGGACGCCGAGGCGGTGCTGCAGGACGACGAGGACCACGTCCTTCGCCAGGAGGAACTCCGGCTGGAACAGGGGCGTCGCGTCGCTGATGAAGCCTCCTTGGGGAAGCCACACCATCACGGGGAGGTCAGTCCGGTTGGGCTGAAACGCCATTCGGATTTCTAGTCGTAAGGCTACGATTGCAAAACATGCGTTAATGTTAATCAGACAAGCAAAAAATGAATAAAAAA